CTAGCGAAAGGATCTGAGTCCTCGCTCCCACTTCCTTTACCCAGAGGCCTCCCTGCCCTTGAGGACTCCCCTTCCACTCTCCTGTCTGGCAGAGTCCTCGTAACCCCAACAAGGCTGGGCCCAGGATTCCTGGGCGGGGCTCGACCCCCAACCCCGCTGTGGTCACCTAGAACAGGGGCTAGGGTGTCCCCACTCCGGGGTACTCTCTCTGCACTGGGCACTTCTCTGACCCACTGACCATTACATACAAGTTAAAGCAAAGGCAAGTTATTTAATCAACAATTAATTTTAAAAAGAAAAAGGAAAAATGGGAACAAAGGAAACACATCAACCCGCTCTGTGGCAGGGAACATCACAAACAGTGTCTCTGGCATGTCCGGGCAGTTCACAGTCTGTTCCTTGTAAGTCCCAGGCCTCCTTCTCAGGCCCTGGCTGTGCTGCAGGGGTGCTGTGGGTTGGACACTTGCTCTGGTGGTGGCCACATGCTCTCAGGCTCTAAGTGGTAGGACCCTTCTTCCCAGTGTCGCCCCGCGCTGTCGGGGTTACGATACAAGCCTAGCCTGCAGACCCTCTTGGCTGAGGCGTCTCCCTGTGCTGGGCCTGCTGCCCAGCGTCCCCCTCGGTCTCCCCAGCTGCTCACCGCACCCAGCTCCAGACTGCTCCTGCCCCAGCTGCACCACGCTGTCTCAGCACTGCTGCTGCTGCTGGCTCTGCCTCCAGCTTCCTGGGCTGTTTCTTTGGCCCCTCTGGCTCTGTTTGCTGCAGCTCTGCTCCCAGGACAGGCCTGCTCTCTCTGGGCTGTGCCTGTGGCTTTGAGGCTGCAGCTCTGCTCCCAGGACAGGGTCTGCTCTCTCTGGGCTGCTTTTCTGGTCCCTCTGGATCTGGCACAGCTCTGCTCCCCAGCTCAGCTTGGGCCCCTGCTTTCTCCTTAGCTCAGCCCCACTCTGTCTGAGCCAGGCAAATCCAGCTCACACTGGAGGACAGGACCTCCCTGGCCTCCTGACTCCCTGATTAGCTTGCCCACCCTGTCATTCAGGCTGACCTGGAGCATTGGCCTCTCCCCATTGTTCCTGGGGGCTGTCAGTCTCAGGTCCTGATTCCCCATCAATCCTTCCCCCTTTTTAATACTGGGAGCTAGCCAACCAAAACACCCCCACTGAATGTTAGTAAGGGGGCAACAGTCCCCTTACATTAAGCTTCCTAAATGTGAATTAGGTGAAAGCACTTCCCTGGCCCTGCAAAAGTGTCCACGCTACACCCCAGGCATGAGGGTTGGGTGTCGCAAAAGACAAGAACTGATCCACACCTTCCTTTACCCAAAATTCAAACAAAATCTCTTGCTGTGGAAGCTCTCTCATTTTTTTAAGCACCAGCACAAGTGTCATTAATGGGAATTAATAATGAATGTACCTGAATGTGGAAGCCAGGGGGCAGCAGTTTTGTGTTATATACGGAGGTGAGAGTAGAGAGGTGGAGTGTCCTTTGGTGGATTCTGCCTGTAATCCTTCAGAGACACATATTGAAGGACCATGACCAGAGTACCACTGGCTGGAGCTCCTTATCTTCCTCTCCACAGGAACTGAAGGACAAGCTCTGACTACAGAATAAGGAGAGTAGAAAGAAGAACATAAAGGAGTCTACTCTGAATAGAAGACAGAGGCAGTCTATAATTGGAACTGGTTACCAACACCACAGAAGTGCTCAGCCACACAAGCCCTGTCTCCCTACACAATGCTCACCTTTGGAATGGAACACGTCCAATGAAAGACCAACTTCAGGCTCAACCTCCCACATGCTGAACAGTTTATTTCCTTGTCTACCATTATGTCCTCCTGCCGACTTAGTCCTTGCCTCCTTGGCCTCAGTTAGTCAGCCCCAGAAGAACTAATATTTCAGCCTACAGACCAAGGAGACTCCTACCATTCAAATGTGCTAACGCTTGAGGGTGGAAAGAAGTGTGTGCACATTGTACTGGAAGGTGGAACGAATCCACTTCTATGCTGCTTGGATAGTTTCAAAAGGATTTCAAGGCCCTGTCCTGCCTTCATCAAGGAAAGTCTTTCCCGACAGGCTTTGGGGCTCACTGCACTGCGCATTCCCCTGGATATCTTACTCCTAAAGCTCAGCCCTAGAAGAGGGACCCAGGAATATCCATTCAGAGCAACAATCCAGCTAGCCTGCTCCCTAATACTGAAGGAGGCCAAAGTATGTTGCTGAATGAGGCCAACAATTGAGTCACCGTACATAGAGATGTGGGGACTTGGTAATCAATTTGACTGTCACAATGAAAGTCAAAGGGCTTGCTACTGCTGACATGAAAACTAATTGGAATTGGGCCATTGAGTTCAATAGGAGCAGGACCAGAAGATGTTAACATCAAAAATGCGTCAGTTGTTCCATTTCAGTGTATTTGATGCAACACTCATGTCACATGTCACATCCTTCGCATGTGGCAGTGGAAACATCACTGCAAAACAGCATGCTGGATGACATCCTCCCCCAACTCTACGTGCCACTTAGCATTCTCAAAGTATAGCATGGAGCTCGTACTTTCCATTGATTGCAATGTATTTGCCTCCCCATCTGCTCCTAGAGCGATAAAATCAAAGAGCCGCTGCTGTCAAAGCTGCCATCTCCAGTGTAGTATAGCCACATCATCCCTTTAGGCTACAGCCTCGTTCCAAGCACCAAAGCATTGCTCAAGGTAAAGTCCCATGGGTGTCAAACCTCAGCTGACAGTGCAAGATAACTGTGCCTTAGAGTTAAGAAAAGAGACCTCTGGGTTCCTAAGAACTGGCTACACTATTGTATACTGGCTGTTGGGAAAGGAGGTGCTTTCTTGCATGCTAGCAATGACTGTGATATGGCCCTAGTTCAAAGAGGCGAACCTGCTCTCTCTTATGATAGGAGACCAGACAAAATGAAAGTGGTGGCTTCCCCTAATTGTTGCACCCAGTGGGGAGGCCAGTAAGTCAAAGTGATCCTACTAGACAAGAGTTAATAGGTCAGAACTTTCTGTTAGTCTGTCCCTGTAAAATGACCAAGGCAACAGCTGCTTCTGGCATTCCTGACTTCCAGGATAACATGTGCTTTGTGCTAACACAAAGTCCCGTGGTTCCATAGTAAGCTCCATGAACCTTAGAAAAATCTTCTCCCACATGAAGTGAAGGGTTTAAAAAAAGAACTACAGAAACCAAGATTCCTATGTAAATGTGGTTGGACTTAGCCTACCACAGAAAGGAAGGTTACTGGAAGACTTTGCTCTGCTGTGTAATTTCATCCTTTAGAACCAAATTATAGTAACTGCAGACATTCCACTAGCTGTGGGCTAATGATGGGAAAAGGCCACTCTAGCCAGTGCATGCTGGGAGAAAGTAGAGTGAGAGGCATAGGTTTGTAACCAGCTTTTACAGAACAGCAAGCCTAACTCTTCTGGTATAGCACCGTGTTACCAAACAGGGGCTCACGGTGTGCTCTGTTTCTAAGGAGAATGGGAATAATATGGCCTTCTGATGGCTGATTTTTTTGTTTTGTTTGGTAAGATGAAGTCTGATACCTTGGAGACCTCTGTGCACCTTGAGAACAGAGACGGAGCAGCTGAAGCAAGGCAATCGCATGTACGTGCTCAGAGTCCTTCACCAATCACACTATCCCTGCCCAAGAGGGGCGAACGCTAAGATAGTTCAGTCTCCATGGCCTGTTTGCTCCTCAACTTCTGTGTTTGCTTCGTGTCAGTTGTAATTGTGATGTAGATCACTGGCCATTGAGTTCACTCATACAGGCATATTCTCAGGGCCTGGTGGCTCACGGTTACACAAAGTGCCCTGAGCATTCCCCTAAACTTCAGAAGGCTTGTCATACCATGTTATTAATGTAAGCCATTCCGGCACATCAGCATATCCTTCCCTAACACTCATTTCCACAGTGTGGCAAGGAACACAGCTTCCTTCATGGAAGAAGGGGTGGTGCCTGTCTTTCAAAGGAGATGCAAAACCAAAGTACTAACTGCACATACTCATAAAACATCCAGTGATGCTGTAGGAATAGAGCTGCTTTGTAGGAGTTGGGGCCAAAGCCAACATGGCTAATTATGTATTAGCTAACAAAAATTGCTCCTGTATTTTCAACTGGATACAGGATCCTTTAGTTCCTGTCCTAAACTGTAGCATAGTGTTGCTGTGTGCGGGTAAACAGATGCCACCTTCCACCCCAGAGGCAGCTGCTTTTCATAGATGTGTGAAGTTATCCCTGTATAACTCCCCACGTAAATGCAGGCTGCTTCCACAGACTAGCTAGGTACCCAGGAACAGACTTTAGCCCCCAGGTTGTAACAGTGGAAGCTTTGAGTCCTTCTGTCTGAAAGATGGGAAAGCAAGTCATCACATCTTGCATTTTCTAGTTACATCCCCTTCTTTTTGAAGGCAAGAGAAAGGGATTAATGCAATATTTGCTTTTTAGCCCACGTGGTTCATTCCGTTAGTGTCTGCCCCATTTACCATTGTCTGTAACATGCTGAACAGCTGTCTGGATTACATTCCCTTTGTTGAAAGAAGCCCTGAAATGCTTTACAGACAGGCATCAGTAGCCATTTGTTTGGATTGAAGGAACATGCACGCTTTTAATTGTTCACGGCAAAGACAGCCTTTTAATTACTTCAATTAACAGAAAGAAGAACGCCAGTTAGCTCTCGTTATACAAAAGGTGTCCACAACGTCATTAAAACAGGATTTACAAGTGTCATAACTCCCAGCAGCATAGTCAACAACACAGGCAATCATTACAACTGAGCACCGAGGGAGAGGAGGAATAAACCATGAAGGAATGGAAGGAAAAGAAAAGAGGATGAAAAGAAGAGGGTGGGGGAAAAAAAAAGAAACTTCATTCTTCTTTTCCAATCTAAATTGATTTTATTCTACAAAATGCTACTCAGTTAAAATTGTAAAAGCAAAACTGTTTTAATATGTTCTTTCTTTCATAGCAGCAAGCTTTCTCTAACAAGCTTTTTGTTTTAGTGCAAATACTGTAGGCCTGTATTACAGTAAAATAACAAGAACAGAAAAGAGACAACACCAGAGAGATTGCTTCAGAGCCAAGATTTTCCATGATCGCAAGAACTATACAAAGATCAAAATGAGCAAAGGGTCCCCATTTAGCAGTCACCTTTAAGAACCTTCTTGATAGGAATTATTTCACCCCAGACAAAAAGAAAAGAAAATCATTATCTAAATTTTTGAGGAGGGCGGGGGGGGGGGGAGATAATGGTGCCCCAAACATACACAGATCTCCATAGATTTATATGAATCTTTGGGGCCTGATTCCAATTTCTCTCACACCAGTTTTACATGAGCATAACTCCACTTATTCCCTTTTCAGAGGAGTTACTCCTGATTTATACACATGCAAATGGAATCAGAATCAGGCTGTTTTCTTCAAGGATCTTAAAGTAGACTTCAGTTGACACTAGTAACTTATCGCTCTACTAAAGATGCACTATCCCTTACTGATGTTACTTTGAACTACACAGTATATCTAAATATATACACATTTTATCCTCTCATTGAGCTAAAACAATCAGATACCTATTTTCTACACATTTTTAATATCAAGTAACCACAAACAAGAAAGTGGAGTAACCCTTTAATCATACAGTGTGGGAGGAGAACAATTTAAGTAGAACAGGACAGGATTTTATTATTATTTTGTACTCAGATTTGTCCCCAGCCCCAGCTATTGTTCACAAAGGAGTGATAATGCATCTTTAGAAACAAATATCTCTTTATACATTTTATACAGACAAGAAAAAAATAAATTCAGGAATCTTTTTTTTTCCTTTTTAAGTAAAAAAAAAAGCATTATTAACCAGCAAAACCAGACAATTGAAGTATTTTTAATGCTCTCATTATTATATCCAGGTCTGGAACAGAAAAAGAGATGTAAACATGATAAATAAATAAGAAATAAAATGTAAATTGTTCCCTCCTTTCTTAAAATGTTTGATCTGGCCTTTCTGATGAGAATGATCTTGTAATGGTCGAGGAAATTATTATTTTAAGACATTTCAGAATTCTGCTTTAGAGTTGGAAAAAACCAAACCAAAACAGGAACATGAGTTGGGAAGATGTTAAATTAATGGTGGGCAGATCTGTTGGAGCAGACACAAAATGTGTGCCTGCCAATAAATAATGAGATACTAGGCTTTTTTAGGATGAAGGCCAGGTAGATCATACATACAGAAAGCAGCAAAATTAAGGGTTCAAATGAACTTAATAGATCATTTAAATAATATTAAAACAAACAAACAAAAAAACCTATTGACCCCCAGCAGGTTGGTCCCTGGCCTACCACTCCTCAGTTTTCAGACTAGTCAGCCCCCTCACCAAAGAGGAAGGAATAGATAGGGGCCATGCCAGAACTGGGAGGGGTGGTAAATGGGGGTGAAATCAGCAGGAGAAAAGCACATGGAGGTTGAAAGAATGTTTCCTTTGATTTAGCTGCTGTTGCTCCTCCAGTTCAGGAGTGATTTACTCTAAACGTGTGCTCAGGTGCTTTACAGAGCTGGGGCCAAACACTAGAGGACTGATCCAAAGCCTGCTGAAGTCAAGGGAAAGATGTCCAGGGATTTACATAGTCTTTGGATCAGAGCTGAGTTGCAATATGTCCCCAACCACAAACAGAACATCTGAAGACATTCCACATTTAGGAATCACCACGTTATAGGTGTGCTGGAGATTCCTGGTTGCAAAATGGTGCAGCATGTCACTATCTGAAAGAGGGCAGGTGAAACGGACACTGGTAAAAGATGAATCCAGAGCCAGCTCACAGCAGCAGAGAGGTCATGCTGTGTCTGATTTGCAAGAGAGTAAGCAAAGCTAAGGCTACCTACCATTCCACTCAAATGGAATGCACAAGCCCTGTGGCCTAACAGAGGTTCTTAATCTGGGATTCCCTGAAGGGTTTCGGGGGCAAAGCAAGCAGGTAGAAAAGGCTGCAGAGCTTCTGGGTTTTCCCCTCTTGCTTTTTGTTTGTTTGTTTGAATTTATAAGATACACAGCTATAAAAACTGTCTGTCACAACTGAGAAGTTGTCCAAGGTATTTTCAGTTATTAGAAAAGGGTTCCTCTACTTCTGATGGTCACAAACACACTGCCTAAGGGGTCACCACTCAGCAGGGATGCCGCTGCCTCAGGCTCAGCTCTGAAGTGCCCACTGAAAGATCAAAACAAGGGGAACAGTGAGGGCAGGAGGAAGGTGAGCACCAGCGAGGAGGTTGGAGGTACGTCTACACTACCTGCCGGATCGACGGGTAGTGATCGATCTATCAGGGATCGATTTATCGTGTCTAGTGTAGACATGATAAATCGATCCCCGATCGCTCTGCCGTCAACTCTTGTACTCCACCGCGGCGAGAGGTGGAAGCAGAGTTGATGGGGGAGCGGCAGCAGTAGACCCCACGCTGTGAGAATGCAAGGTAAGTCGACCTAAGATGCGTCGACTTCAGCTACGCTATTCTCGTAGCTGAAGTTGCGTATCTTAGGTTGATTCCCCCCTTCTCCCCCAGTGTAGACCAGGCCTTGGGCTCCTTTGGGTAACATCTCAATGAATTAGGCTTAAAGAGGAGCCTGGTTCTCCCTTGGATCTATGCCCATGTCACAGAGATGAGGAGTTGGGTTCCATGGCTTGGAGGAGAGACAGAGACAGGTCAGAAGGGACCATCATGATCATCTAGTCTGACCTCCTCATTTCAGGCCACAGAATCTCACCTGTAATAGACCCCTAACCTCTGGCTGAGTTACTGAAGTCTCAAATCACGGTTTAAAGACTTCAAGTTACAGAGAATTCACCATTTAAACTTGTTTAAACCTGCAAGTGACCTGTGCCCCATGCTGCAGAGGAAGGCCCAATAAGTTTAGGCTCAAACTTGCCCAATTAAGCAGAGGAGGATCTGATATCTGGAGGGGGGGAAATACTTGAGCCATCCAGATAGACCAGATGTGAAAAAATAATTTCTCATTTCTGGGACTAACTCTTGTTGGCTGGCAAAAGAGGGTTTTATAGGTAGCGGAAAGGACACTTGAAAATTTCTTTCAGAAACATTCTATTTTGCTACCCCAATTACCCACAAAAGCTGGCCATGTCTTCCACTCTTGGACAGATTTCTCACCACCCTTCCACAGTAATGAAAAGGACTGTCTGATCCCAAATCAAATAGATAGCTGATAGAATGGTGAGCTTCACCTGAAGTTACATTAGAAGAAGGGACAAGTTATTTTTCAAGACACCACAAATTCAGTTTGGTACTAAGGAGACTTTAGAAGAGCCTTTTGTTCGCACGCTACCAGTTTTGTAATCCTCAGAAATGTGGGTAAACAGGTACCTACTCAGTTCTTAATGGGTATGCTAATCATGAATTAATTCTAGGGAGGTTCCTGCAGAACAGTGGATCAGGTCAACTGGCCCAGGGAGAAATTACATGCTTTTAGGAGTCACTGCTTGTTAATATTATCTTCTGCCCTGCATGAGTGGAAATGAAACACAGGAGACATTTTACTGAGTGACCCTAGATTTGTGATTTAGATCAGCCAAAATGAGCATCTGGTAAACTGAGGGGGAAAAAGGACAGAAGCCACAGTTTATCTCAAAGTGACACTTTTTAGCTAAAAAAAATATTAAAAACAATCTTCGCTGGGCAACTTATTGAAAAATGTTTAAAATCATTTACCTTTATTTCTATTAATCAGTTAAGTTTTGCACTTCAACTAAGGACAATTAAACTAACTGGTTAGTTTCACGTTTGGGTCTCTGGCACGAGCATAAAGTAGGGAATGTTCCAACAATTAAGAAAGAACAGGATCAATGAATTTCAGTTTCATGAACAATTCACTAAAACATTTCTGTTCCTGGCAAGTTTTGTCCGTGTGGGTTTGGTTTGGTTTGAAAGAAAACCTACATTCAGACAGTATCCCTTTAAACCCGATACAAGCAACTAAGCAACAGTGAGGGTTTGTTAGAATCCATGATTGCTACGTAAAAGCCCAATCCTCTGAGGTGCTGAGTACCGTTAAATCCCAATAGAGGCCGTAGGATCCGAGGGTGCTCATCATCTCACAGGATTGGGGCCTAAAATAGAACACTGCCCCAAAGATTTCTCCATAGTCTAGCCTAATTCAGAACATACCCAGATTTTGGTTGATAAACCAAAGAAGATTATACCCCACATAATTAGATATGCTGACACAGCAGCTTCAACGGACTTAAACGAATGGAGATTCTCTTTGAAAGCACTGAAAGGAGCTCTCAGCTACTACAACAGGAGCCTGATCCAACCCCCATGCACTCGATCTTGGAAAAACCTACAATGCACCTGAGCAAGGTTTCTAACTGCCATTGACCTGCAGTAGGAGTTGGACTTGGCTCCAGAGGAGTTGAGGTTAAACATATTATTTTCAGTAGTGAACATTAATTTTAAATGGCCATGCCCATTGTGTGCATTCTGCACTGTCAGCTGAGACCCTGTGTAGGAGAAGACAGAGGACCCACTGTTAGGGGCAGAGGCTCTGCTTGTCTTGAACACCAAAATTAAAAATCCCCCAATCCAACAAGTATCAAAATACAACAGGGGCCAGGAATCAAGGCACAGTGACACAGACAAGGAAAGACAACAGAGATGCAAACTGCATTGAGTGGAATCAGCATCTGAGTCAGGCACACTGAGAGGAGGAGCAGGATGCATTGCACCCAAGATGGCAGGTAGCCAGGGTGAAGGAAACAAAGGATCCACCAGCAGATTTGAGAAACACTAATTACAGGAGAAATGCTGCCAAAGACACCAGCTAGTGGAAACAGACTCTGGTATCCTATCAGCTACCGGGGCATCACTCTGGGTCCCATTACTAGGCATTTTGCTAACCTGGCCTTTGCAGCATGGGGAGGGGGGACAAAATATCCATCTCACATCCTCCAACTCCTCCAAACAAATCTTCCCCTCAGTTCATGGCACCCTTGCCACTGAGCTCATGGGCTATTGACTTACAAGTGCTACCCCTGTGACCAAGCATTTGTGACTCCTCCCAATGCTCCCCACCTTGACAACAGCAAGAATTTCCCACAGCTCCTCCCGCCATCATCAGCAGCAGCAGCAAACAAAGATCATAACAAGCCTTTAGAGTGGATATCGACTAGATGAAATGTCATGGTATCAGTGAGAGAGAGAGAGAGAGAGACAGAGAGAGATATCAACCAACCAGAATGAACTAAGCACAGAATGTAACTAATCAGATCAGTTCACAAAGGAAAGGGGTGACTAGTGATTTTCTGCAGCTCGCCTCCAGTCCTGGCCAAGCGTGTTTCCCAAGTCCATTAAAACACACAAAGAGGTTTACATAGGCAGCTTCTCCAGAGGGGAGATTCCCCTTTCCAGATGTACTGGGCGTGTCATTTCCACCATCACCATTTCTGCTTCCATGGAGTTTACATTTCTTCTTGTTCTTCCTGCTCAAGGAGGCTCCTGGAGCCACATTTCCCCTTTTCTTGCTCTTGCTGCCCTTGTGCTTCAACGCCCTTGTGCCAGTCTTTAATCCTGTGGAGGAGGTTCCCCCCACCCCCACAGTCCTGGGTGGGAATGTAACACACTGGCAAATGAGGGACACGGGGTGGGGGTTACAAGGCCAACAGGGTTGGAGAGTTCAAGGAATCTGAGGACTGGTCACCACTGCTGCTACTTCTCCGGTGAGCTTTGGAGCATGACTCCGAAGGGGAGAGAGGAGACTCCTGATCCAGCACGCTGGGGTACGTGAAGACCAGGTTGGAGGTGCCAGGAGTGATGGCAGGTGTCGAGGTCACCACAATGGGAGTGTTGAGTGGCTCCTCCCCATAAAACCCCCCTGCAATGCTGATGGGCTTAATGACAGACCTCTGAGCTTTGTCGAGGCCCAAAGAGGAGGATGGGATCTCTTCTTCCACCGGCTCCTGCTTCACCACTACTGCTCCACTCACTCCAGTCCGGACCGTCTGGAGGCTGTGAGATGGTGGGGTGCGACGCTCCTCGGGGCTGATTTTGCACACAGGGCCATGAGCCACCAGCATGAACTCCAGCTTATCCTTCTCTTTCTGGAGTTCAGCAATCTCTTTCTGCAGCACTGATTTCTCTTCCTCCAGCTCCTCCGTTTCCTGCAGACCGAGGAGAAATTAATAAATATGACAGCCTACGCTAGGGGAGAGAGCGGTGGACAAAGTCAGAGCCTTATCAGAATGTGCTAAGCACAGAGAGAAGCTGAGCAGATATGCTGCATAGCCCTCTCAGAGACCATCTACGAGCAGTAAGAAACATGGCAACCCTTTGGGATCTACCACTTAGGCAGTACCAAACACACTCCTTCAGAGCCAGTCAAACAAAAAATGTCCCCCTGGGACCTCAGAGACTGCTGGGGTGCTCCACTGCAGAAAGGACCAGCAATGAATGGGTATAAGGGGAAATCACAAACAATGACGCATGGCGTCCAGGGTGCAGCAGTACAAGTTATGAACGACATTGCATGTTAAGGAAAACTTAGAGCCACTTCACCTGGCACGTTTCAAACACTCAAAACTGCCTTGGGCATTCAGCCTAATCTAAAGGAGTTCCACTGGACTGAGTTTCCATTCCTGGGTCCATGCTCATCCCCAGCCAGCTGTCCCCTTTAGGTGCTATCCCAGCTAGGCACCAATAACCCTGTGAAGTGAAGAGACCCTCGTGGAAATTCCAGCTGGCTCCTAATCACTGCAGTAGGCAACTAGATTCTGGGGCAGAACAAGTGATGTATTGGTCCTCATATGAAAACCAAAGTATCTTAGGCACTTGTATGGCCCCCATTATTATTGTATCTGAACACCTCACCATCTTTAATGTTTTTATTCTCATAACACCCCTCTGAGGCAGGGTAGAGCTGTTATCCCATTTTACAACACTGGACCATCCTACCTTTCCAGGGGACCTGTAGAAAGATCTATCTGAGTATACAGGGAGTTGCACTAGGGGAAATGTGATTGGTTTAACCTATTCAATTACTTCAGCATGAATTAACACAAACAAATCATATTATGTAAAGGGAAAATCTATACTGACAATCAAGCCCTGAAAAGAGGTGGGGTTTGGAGGGTGTGACAGTGAAACAACTATATATGCTTATAACTTGGGCAAACAACAAGAGAGGTGTGCGGGGAGGGGCACCTGGGTGCAAGTGTAATACTCCCCACATCGGTTGTCAGTAGGCTTTGAACCCAGGATATTGAGCATCAGAGCACATAACTACCACATGAGCTAAAGGAACGACTTCACTAGCTGATAGCAGTAGGAAGCAGTGATTTTTGAGCCTGACTTGAACCAGCCACTGAAAGGGCATGTGCTACATACTTTGTAGTATATTTGTGTCACGCACCAGCAGGAGGAGAGGCATGGTTTAGAGTGATCCGAGGGGTATAGAACCAGAAGCGGAGAGATGCGTGCAGAGTACATACCGCCTGGAGTTTCTCTGTTAGCTCTCGACGCCTGTTACGGCACTTAGCAGCTGCCAGCTTGTTCCTCTCTCTTCGGATCCTTCGCTTCTCCTCTTCCTCAGGTGACAGCTGTAGGCACATACCAAAAAAGCTCAAAACCAAACCTCAAGATCTGAGCAAATCCTTCCTTGCGCTTTGTGAACAATAGTTCACCACAGAGCAAAAAGGGCCTGATTCTGCAAGGTGCTGCGCACGCTCAACTCCCATGGAGGTTGCTGGAAGACAAAGGTGCTCAGCATCTCTCCTAGGATTGGCTCCATAATGAAGAGGGTCGAAGTAGAGAGGGGCGCGACAGGACTCTGCAAGAGGACAGTGAATCTGCAGCCAAGGCCAAGCAGACAATGGGTGGCACATAAAGCAAAACCAGAGCAAAATGTTATAAGCGCCTCTTTCTTGAAACAAAATATCTGCTTCTTTCCACATAAGCACAGTCATTAACCTGAAGGTCAGGGACCAGATCCTCAGTGGGTGCAAATCAAAGTAGCATTATTGAAGTCGATGGAGCTAAGCTAATCTACACCAGCTGAGGATCTGGCCCCAGATTTCCAAGCACTAGCCAAGATAACACACTGTACTTCCTGTATCCGCAGGCAACCATCCAGCAACATAAAAAGACCCACAGGGCAGATTATGTTCTCTCAGAAGCCCATGGAGTGACACTGTTGTAAATCCAGAGTACTCAAGGGCAGCAGATGACCAGCAGTGTCCAGTCACGTCAGGCTCAAAAGTCTAGGTTTTGGAACAACGTTTGCAAAATCTCACAGTAACAGAAATGCTTCCATCGCTATAGATACCAGGCCAGCTCCTCAGCTGATGTAAACCAGCACACTGAATGAACCCCATGTGGCTACCTAGACTTACAACAACTGATAATCCGGCCCACCGTTTTTAAATTCCAATGCAAACTAGATTTTTGTTTGGATTTTATCACTCCCATGCAGGGTTCACAACTAGAACATGAGAAGCAAAGAGTGACACTGGGCCAGATCCTCAGCTGGTGTGCATCGACACAGCTCCACTGACTTCAGACATGCTCTGCAATTTTAAACCAGTAAGGATTAGTCCAACTGATTAGAAACAAAACTGAAACAGACTAATGTGGTGTTAAGGTCCAAGATGATCTAATGCAAAAAAATAAACTGCCAACAAATAATGAAAGCATTTTGTTCAATTAAAAAAAAAAAAGCTTTCAGTTTTAATACCTTAGGGCTGTGAACAAGCTAGTCATCGCTTTCATTATCTGTTCTTGTTTATGGTTTTTTACTCTGCCTAACTTCATTCTGGGGTTTTATTTATTTATATATTTTGTTGCAATCATTCCCGTTTCAGTACATTCATTTTAATCTGCGTATTTGCCCCCCGCCCCTGATCCCATTGTGCTTTTGCTCTTTTATTAACTTTATACATTTCTGTGATTTTTATTTTGATTGCACATACATGAATTTTTATTATGTATAAAATGGGCATGTATGTGTGTGCATACAATATATACAGTTTATATGGCCCCTGCTCAGCAGAGCCCTAAAGCACATGCTTAAATTGTTAGCTGACCTGGGGCCTATGGATGGGATTCTCAAAAGCACCAATGGGATTTAGCAGCACAAGTCCCACTAAAACAGGTTTCAGACCAAAATTTTCTTGCCAGTAACTTCAATTCTGTTTAATGATCTGACTCAGGTTGCCACTTTAACAAGTCCCATGAACAACCACGACTGGTGACAACTCAGGCCCTAATCTGGCACAGAATATTTGCATATGTGTAACATTAACTGGAGGCCTAAAAAGAGGAACAGTCCTTGGTGTTTTTAAAGGAGTCCAGTTCTTCATTGTTTGTACCCCTTTCGTATTAATTCTGAGTGAATAGGCTAGTAGATGGGTTTGCCAGCAGAAACAGTCACCAAAACAGCCTATTTTCAGCAAATATTATAGAATAGTCTCAGAAAATGAATTCTGAATTTGATTCATGAGCCCCCACATCAGAAATCTGATCCTAGGAGTCCCATTCAGCTCATCAGATACTGAACACAGCATACGTCTAATCAGCACAGCTTGAATCGGAAGGACCCACAATGAATCGCTCACAAACAAGCCACAGGCCAGGAATTACTGGCCGGCATTCTTCAGGAAATAAAGTCAAACAACAATCAAATTGGAGGATATTGGGATCTCTTCATGGCCAATTTGTGAACACAGAGGCAACGTTTGCCATACAAATTATTTGTTGCTAATTATTCCTCTGGTTCCAGTGCCAGCTTTACTCCACTTTAGACAACAGAGCATAGGACCCAGTGAAAGCGAGGGGAATCCACCTTTGTGCAGGGGGCCAGCACAAAACCTATGCACCGCTTTACTCTGAACAGAGGATCGGGCTCTTCTTGAGCAAACACACACTTATAAAAATAGGGCTTAAAAATGGAACTGTGTTAGCCCTCTGCACCAAAGGGATTTTCATTCACTATGAGCAATGTTAACCCCTTGTCTGCCTTTGAGATCTCAAAAAAACAGACAGGCTACAATAGTCAGACTGAAAATCAAAATGGATGATGTGGAAGTAAAAGCAAGGCTTAGTGTTTTATTAAAAACAGACCTTGTGCAATACCCATCTAATCTGCTGGCCAGGTGCAGTGTCCCATTGCATTTCTCTGCAAAGGCCTGCACAACTGTGGTTTCAGAGTCACACAGGGTGATCCAGATTATTTCTAGTTTCTTTAGAAGTGAATTTTGCACTAATGGAAGGCACTGGTTTAACCGCCCTGGCGGCTGGAGTCCACTATTAACCCACATAACAGGTACAGTGTGGACAGTGGAAGTCCAAGCTTGCCCACAACAGCTATATTAATGTCCCTCTGAGCAGCAAAGCCCTGGGCAAAACGAGCTCAGTTTACAAGATCATTCAGTCCTTGCTCAGACTGCCACCAAGGGATTGGATATTGTTGGGTTTGCGAAGGGGACACCTACCCACTAGGAAATAGACTTAGATCTCCAGCCACCCACTATGCAGGCGGCTCTTTTTAATAAGCATATATTTGTGCAGTAAAAGCCTCCCACATCCCAGTTCTGGTTAGTTTCATGCTCATGCCAGCACACAACACTGGAATCAGAGTGGGACCAGCTAGCCGGGGAGCGCACTGGAAAGGGAAGGAATTGGCCCAGAGGAGAAGGGATGGCGTGGCACTCCAGCAGGGTCAGCCCTCCCTCCTCCAATCCCCGGGTATTTTCTTAAGCAGATTGTGTAAAACTCAGCGGTTCCGAGATTTTCTTCTGTTTGAGGCCCCAGCCAAATAAACTCAAACTGAAACCTAGACTACAGAGTTTCACCTGGTTTTGATGTGAAGCCACAGATCGGCCCAGACTTGAGGAAGCCTTTGAGGGAACTTGGCTGAATTACAACTTGTAATGATCTCACAGCAATAAAATTGCCTCCTTTCGTGTGATATTCTGAGGGACCTGAAAGGCCTTTATAAAGTAAGGGCCAGCCCTGGATGGCAGGGTGGAAAGGAGTATGATCAGAGTGTGCTGTGCTCTGGAGCTGATTGAATAGTCCTTAAGGGTCACTGTAACCACAGGGCTGCTCTAACTGGTACTCCTAGGACGGAGGAAGTGGAAACGTGACTGAAAGCCACCTATCTCCCCATCTCTCACACACACACACACACAAACAGAGGATGCTAAGCAGCGTTCAGGCATACTGAACTCATTGAAAAATGCAACGAGGGGGGAATTTTAGGGAGACAAAATAATCAACCAAATAGAATTAAGTCGGCCATAGAGGGATTAAAACCCTCTTACTCTTGCAAAAGGTGCCATGGGATCCTTGTAAAGCCCCAAGTTGTCAGGGCCTTGGTTTTTAGGCATCACCCAAAAGAAAGCCCTTCCAGCAACACAATACCAAGCTGGGATGGGTATCAGTCAGTTTCAGACCAAGAGCACTACCTACTGAATCACCAGCCCTATTACTTGCAGCACCTAAGGTTGTCTTGCAGCTATACCCAAACACCAGCTATACCCAAAACTGCTTAGCTTGCAAGTTAGGATGAGGCATTCTATCCACTATGGTTACCTGCTCATCTCTTCTCCTCCTGCCCACTGTGGTCCCAATAGTTTTAATGACACCAGGTCTCTGAAGGGCTGTATGTCCACCAACTGAAGACAAGTTGGGCAGAGGATGGCTGTAGGGATGTGAGCGAGAGTAGGGACTCGACATGGAGGTGATCACTGTGGGCTGGACCATCCACTGCAGGTCTTGGCTGGTTGTTATGGCATTAATGGTAGGGATAAAAGCACTGCCTGATCCTGGCATATCTATCCGGAATTTCTAGAAGGAGACAAAAAAAAAAGGGAGAGAGAGATCAGTACATGCACAATATTGATGTCTAAGCAGAAACAAGTGGAGAAGGAGATTCACTGGGAGAATCTAAGCAGGTACCAGAATTAGGACATAAACACCTGAAGCAGATGGACTCAGTGACCCGTCGATATACAGATGGCATGGAAAGGTACGCCCTTCCACAAGCAGACAGCCTAGTGTGGCAACCAGCAGAACAGGCTTCAGCATCTGGCACTTGCCCCATACATGCCATTTAGTTTCCATGCAGAATAGTCTGTGTTTGCACTTGTTCCTGAGGAGTGGATGGGACGGAGAGCACCTGCACAGACAGCACACACCCTGTGCACCTTCTGGTACTTGAACAAAAACTAAAAGCCTCACAGTGGGAGCCTATCATGTTGAAGGATCTATGTTGTTCTGATGTGTGAAGTGAAGGGCCTTTTCGCTTGTCACAATGATTATTTGTACCTCTTGATGCCATTCCGCTCTGGTGCAGTTTGGTTTTACTTCACTCCTGAATGAGACTCACTGCCAAGCAACCTCTTCTTCCCCGCCCCCAATCCCAAAGCAACTCCTTCCCTCTCCCCTCCAGTCCCACTCCTGCCAAAGAAACTCCTCTCTTTCCCATAATACACTTGCCCTCCCTGAAAACAGTGCAAAGCATGTTATATAGAACATTCACCCCACACAGCAAGTCATGGCCAAGTCTAAAAGGGGAATTGAGGAGTTTCTAGAAAAATACTTCCCCATCAATCCAGAAAAAAGGAAGAGAAATTTCAGTCATAAACACCAGCACGTAGTTCACTGGAACCTTTTTACGGGGGATCTGTTCTGCCCCTATAACACGGGAGCTTTGGCCAAAGGATATGGCTCTATGAATGAAAGGTTTGTATAGAGAATTGCAGTGATAACAGAGAGAGACAACACAACAATTCAGGGCTTCATTATGTGGAACCATGCTCACCACAAACAGGTTCTAGGGTATAATGTGAAATGCCCAGCTCTGGGACAGTTATGTGCATGTTTACATATTTTAAATGCAGCCTATAAAATGTGTTTCAGGATTCAGACTGGACAAGTTCCTTGCAGCTCTTGGCATTGTCTAGACAAAACAAGGCAGCAGTAAAACCAAGACAGTAGGTAATGATCTCCTCCATAAAACTTGTACACCTGGTTTCAGTCAGACTTAAGTAAATCCACCTGGATAATATGCTGGCACTAAACAACTAGGAAAACAATGATGTGTCCAGGAGGGGGAAGCATGAGAGAAAGAATGCTTTTGTCTAGAAAGAGATCCTTTCAGGAGACACTCAAAGGTTAGATTAGGTTTTAAAGACATGTCTTGCACCACCAACATTCTGAATTTTGAATACAGAAGTGACAATAGACTTTTAGGACCAGAGGTGAGAACTATCAGCCAACAACAGTTTGTGGCCCTTGAAATGATCCTGTGCAAATGCACATCCTTAGGTCAATTAAATGACATCACAGGAGCCAGAAAACTGGAGGAATGGGAAATCACCACCACCATGACCCCGATTCAAGAGAGTACTTAAGCATTAAGGATGATCTTGAAGTTAAGCATGTGCTTAAGTGTTTTCCTAAATCAAGGTCTATAAAAATAATTTTCCAGATTTTTACAGGACCAGAACTTTAGCCATTGGACTCTGTGTGTGTAACATTGGCCCAAATTCCTGATGACTTCAATGCAACCAGAATTGAGCCCAAAAGAACCACCTGAAACACAGAAAAATTCCAATTTAAAGCATCAGACAGCCCCAAACTAAGGAGGAAAGTTAGGAGAAGAAATGAGTGAATCGGTTAAGGGAGGGAATGTAAGAATGAATCTGTCCCCTGATATCAAACCTTCAGCAAAAGCCCCACCAGAACCTTAGGTCCTTCTATATTGCCTCTTCATGGCTCCTATAAAGGAGTTTGCTGAAAATAGCTTTACGTGCCACTCCTCTCTCTCCCTGTTCTCCAACAAGGTAAGCTATGCTTGTAGTACAGGACAGGATGTCTTCATGTCTCCACATTATATAGTGTAACTAGTGCTGGGATGAGATAGAGGAAAAATTACATTAAGGTCATAAAGAGGGAGCATGAGCTAGTGTAGTGGTTAAAGAACAGCTGTGAGAGTCAGGAGATCTGGGTTCCACTTCAAACTCTGCTACTGATTTCCTGTGTGATCTTTGCCTTTCCCTGCTACAGTTCCCCCTCTCTTTAAAGAGGGGAATAATTATTCTTACCGTCTTCACCTGTGTGTTGTGAGGTCAAATTAACCATTGCAAAATGTGTTGACAGCCCTGTATGGAAAGTACTATAGATATGAAAAATTATCATTCAGGAGAGTTTATTGCAAACCTAAGGATAATGACCCTTCCAGTGACATACATCCTGACCTTCAACTCCTCATAACCAGGAAGGAGTTCACATCTGACAGGTCATAAAAATTATAATAATCACCAAATTATCTGGATGAAGGGTCAGATACTAACTTCTCCCAATCCATTAAGAGATGAAGATCAGGGCCTATGTCAACGGAAAGGTCACTGCCCTTAGATTTGCAATCACGTCTTCCATTTGATCTAGGACCCTGCTATCACATGGAATGAGTTCTTCTCAACACACCTATTCCTGGCAGTGGTAACAGTGGCAAAGGCAACCAGCTCAGGGGGCCAGTAACAAGATAAAGGCATCTATACAGGGTTAAGGCAGGGTTCTGTCTTGTAGATGGAGCTTTAACTGCATCCCTGGATTGTGCTAAAGCCTTGGACATTCCATCCTAGGTGTAAACCTAGGATATTAGCCTTTGTGCCCAGACAAAATTGTCTATGACAGGCTTAGAGGCAGAAGGAAACGCCTCTAGTTTCCGCCGGGACTCGTGTCCTCCTTTGCTCTCGCCTCCTTCCTAATCCCTTAAAATGGCTTCAGAAAATTTCTGCTGAGACAGGCAACTCTGAAAGGTGTCAGTAAAAATCCTCCGTTATTATTCTCCTTTCACCATCTAACTAATTACAGGATGTGTCACTTATCACAAGACTGTCTTAAAAGACGCTCCACTATGACTCATGTTAGGTCTCTAAATCGAATGCACAATTACCTACTATGTAACCGTGGTCATTTCCACATTCTGCTTGGTGCTCAAGGGGCCATGATCCCCATGGTGGCAACTCTCTCCTGCCCATCTCGATCAACTCACCTGCTTTACAATTCAGACACTGCACTGCCATTCACTTTCCCTTACAAAAATGCTAGTAGGCCCCAAGCCCTTTGCCACTGGAACGCCACAATATGAGGCTCCCAATATGCTTCCAGGTCTAATCCACTGTGATACCATAGTTTTCAATGGCAGGTTCTGACCTGCTCCACCTCCTTTTGAAGTTCATTGGGTGCCAATTTGTTCCCCTCACCTAGCAGGCCTGCATAATCTTGCCCTCACCTGTATCTCAGCTCATTCCCCGTAGTCCTTTTACTGTTCTTCCCACCTCTATTTCTCCTTTCCCCACAATCAGCTTTGTACCTTCCATCATGCTGGCCCTTATTCCTGGAACACTCTCCCAACCCTCATCCACCAAGTCCCTCCTCCCTTAGCCCCCCCTTCCTTCAAATCCCACTTTATAGCCTCCTGCATTCATCTCCTCAGCAGTAATCCCCACACCCACCCTCTCCTGATTGGTTGTTTTATGTTTTATTTAGATTGCAAGTCCTTTGGTGTCTATGTTTCTGAAGTGCCATGGAGATTCATGGCACTATATACAATGTTTAGCAATAGTAAAATGGTAATGCTGCACACTTTAGATCTCCACACCCCGCTCTGGAACGTACAACCACTGCAACACTGCAGAGCCATCGCCCTAGCACAGCCCCAAGCAACGTGCAGATCAAGATACCATCACATTCCCTGGTAAAAGACAAACGCGCCTCTAGCTTTCCCATTGCTTCCAAAAGGGCTGAGGTCTGTTCCCATTATAATCTAAAACATGGGACTGGGTAATGGCCTCCCATGCTTCATCTCCCAGGGACATTCCAAAGATAATGAATTAAATCTTGCCACAAAATGCAAAGGGATGGGCTAGAGCAGTGGGTCACAAAGACCCGTATATATACCAGCAACGGTGTGATATTTCAGGCTGATGGGACTGCACTTTCCCTTCCTCATCTTCATGGGGAGCTTCCGTGCTGCTCCAAGTGAGTCACTGCTGCCCATGAACCCAAGAAAGGTTGATCCCCTCCAACCCAAATGATCCTATAACAAATAAATGGCTCAATATTGCAAGCTTTTCTCATGCAAGTAGTTTCCTTGCATGTCAGACACTGCAGTGGGATAATACGTAGGAGGAAATCTTCCAGTCTGAAAGAGCAAATATATTATCCTCATTAAATTCTACGTTCACCACAAGGCAAGTTTGTTATTAGGTATCGAATATTTTACATAACATTAAAAAACATCACAGCGCTGCACTGTAAGGATAGAACAGTTAAAAGGCATCAAAGTTTTGGCTCAGAAAGACGATTTCCACTGAAACGTGACTGATGCAGCCTTCCTTGCTTCTGAAGAAGAAAGATTCAAAAGAAAACTTTGCAAGTTGTGTATTTTATGTGGTAATAAAACTGCTGATTTCCATAGTACAGAATCAGTGGAACCGACCAATTCCTAAAACAGAGGTGAGGCTTCTGTTTGATCCTAATCTACAAAATCTGCAAGGATCAAGGGGAAAGAAGACACACAAGCTTCTTGAGACGTGCCCCAGATTTTTAAAGAAAACACTTATGTACTTATTAAGCCAATTTCCTGATCTAAGACCTAATAAGATAGTAACCTTAGAAACTATATTCTGGCATCCATATCAAACACACACACACACACTCTCTCTCTCTCTCCGTTTGAAAGAAAAACAACAAGGGGAAAAAAATAAAACCAGCTCATTTTATTTAGACTTCATTAACTCACACATTCTACACAGCCAATCAATGTGTCACAGCCTCTGCAAAATTCACTTGATCTACTGTGTGTATTGAATTTGAAAGATACAAAACAAAAACAAACCAAGAGCGCCAAGCTATCCAAGCATGTTCAATTTCTCAACCCCCTTCTCTCCTCCCTCCTCCTCACATTTACTGAAAATGAGTAAATCATCTGATTCCAAACTACAATCCCTGGAAGCATTCCTACTGGGATTATCCTACAGAGGGCACCAACGAGGTATATTTGGAGCGAGCTGGGAAACTTTTGAGTCATTTCTGGTAAAAGTTCTTTGATGTGAGGAATGTCACAGGCTGGTACTGTTGGCAAAGTTTAATATAGGGCGATTTTTAAAAAATGATCCTATGACTTCTTGATGCGTCTCCCACGCTTCCAGTTAATTTACACAAATTATGCAAGAAATAATAATAACTGGGGGGAGGAGGGGAGATGAAGCAACCCTGGTGGGGGGAAAAAAGGGAGAGAGAAAGAAGAGAGTGAGAGAGAAGGCCAGCTGATGTAAACAAGTTATGAAATAACATAGGTTTGTGTAACCGGCCCGATTGCGTAATGCTTTCCACAGAAGCCATGGATTTAGTTTATGCAGGCACATAAGCCTTTCTGAAGTGTTTTCCTAGGAAAACTAAAAGGGAAAAGGCCCCTTTATAAAAAACAAACAAACAAAAAAAACGACCAGCCTTCAGGTTCATGTAGTCACGCAACTTCAACAGGAAATATCTTCCATTCTTCTAGTTCCAATATTATGGGAGACCAGAAGCTTACAACAAGAAAAGTTATCTCAAAAATGTAACTAGATCCCATGAGCTCTGTAAGAGCTTGCATCCTGAGGGTCAAGAGAACAGGAAAACTGAACAGTAAATACCAACAAGCCGCAATCAGCAAGCTGAGGAATGTCTGAATACCAGAAGAGAGCAAAAATATCACTCCCTAGGTACGTAGAAAGCCTGGCCGATACAAAAACACATTCCATCCTCACAGACAGACACTATTAAAAAAGGGGGAGTGGGCGCGCTCTACTGAAATTCTTTAAACACCTTCCAAATCAAATAAAGTCTACTTAAAAAGATTCCATATATTTTAACTCCCTTGCAATAAAGGACCTTGAGACTGAGTATCACAGGACCTATTAGGGTAATAGCATATAGATGTCAAGGAAGTAATGCTGTTTTGGTTCAGCTCACAAAACAGCTTGTCTACTTGGGAGAAGATGGTGGGGGAGGGAAGAGCTTTTAACTAAAACAAGACAGGAGAGAGCTTCATAGATTTTTTTATTATTATTATTATTATTATTATTTTTTAGTAAGTTACCTTGAGGATTCCTTGGCATGAAAAGCAACTGTAAACTATTATTGCTGAAAGGTACCAAATAAAGTAAGATTTCCATACTATTATTAATTGCAAAATCTATGTGCATATTACACCAGGCTGTGAATTAGCCAACACTTGTTTTCTGCTTAGCCAATGATTATCCTCTCCCTATGGGTGGATGGATTTTTTTTTTAAACCATTCTTTCTTCCTTTCAGTGCTTTTTACACTAAAAAACGGGAAAACTACTTCAGTGAGGTAGGTGAAAAGCCCCAAATAGAACTGTGACCCAAAGACCATGTAATGTTCTTTCCAAATTTTTATTTACAAATAATAGTAGTAATAATAATAATAATAATAATAATAATGAGTCTTAGTCTCTGGATTGTATTTACCTACCTATAGGAATTGGAGCTAAATACCAGGTTTGTGTTCAGTGATACAATCTGAGTTATCTGAGCAGAAAACAGAAAGTCCTCTTTTCCAGGAAAGTTTGTGAAGCAGAGGAGCATTCCCACCTTTGTCTTAAAACTATTGGTCTACTTAGAAATTCATCTCTTATCTACAGGCTTTGGGAGCAATCTGAAAGCAGACTGATGAGATTAAGGTGTGATACTCTTGTGTAAAGATCACAGACCCACCTCTGCACTTTTTATTCGGGCAAGCTGCCTAGGGATGTCAGGATCAGACCCTATTTCCTGGTGTCCTGTCTCCCATAGAGATTCTGAAATGTCACTGATAATAGGTGGCATTTTGAAATAAACCGTAGTAACTAGCACCATTTCACTTGGGTTAAATGTTTAGTAGAATTCCTACAGAGCTGGCAGTATTTCAGGTTACACTGCATTCCCTTCACTTTCCAAGGATAAATAAAAGTCAGGGATTCTGACTTCCAAGTGTTCAGTGCCTGTTTGATGACATCTGCCATGTCTGTAGGTATGCTCAGCTAGCACATGGGATAAGTATAGAAAAGAACACTATGTTAGTGGAAAGCAGAGTAAGAGCTGATATTTTTAGCACTGTGAAACATTTCCTATAAGAAGTAATGCAAATTCATTGCATACACTCAAAGATGCACATAAGGTGCAGAGCAGCAGTCAGACAGTATACGCACAACATACTGCATGTATTTATATATAAACACATACACACTTCCATACACAGAGACAAATTGGGTGAAAGTCATTTTAATACGCTCTCTTTTTTTTGTAATTACTCCCACTAGGAAATCCACCAGGAATCCACACACACAGCCTCCAATCCCCAAACTGGCATAAAACGAAAGTATATGCGTTACAGTCTCCCTCTCTCTCTCTCATACACACACGTTGCTTCTTTCAGCCCAAATTAACTCCAGCAGAGGACAGCAGAACCCACGATGAGTGACTGACCCACTAATATCGCGGCGGCGGCAGCACCAGGGTGTGTGTTTTCAGCACAGACCCCGCTGCCCCCCTGACAGCAACTGGATCCTGGAGACGGTAACTTCAAGAGGAAATATAAAGCAACACTTAAACACTCACACACTGAACACTTAGCTGCACTGGCGATTAAACGTTGCCTTTCTCTCCTGACCTGGCGTCCTGTAAATCCGTAGATTAGATTCCTCATGATTTACGCTCACACAAAACCGCCCAAACTCTTGCAAAGACAAAAGTTGCTTTCCCCCCTCCTTTTAAGGCGTGGACTCGAAATGGATTTGGAGCGCCAAAGGATAGGCAGCACCTATTATTTCCCTAATCTCCAACTAGGCAGAGGTTTGATAAAGGCGCTCAGAAAGTGGACTGGGTGTGGCAAGTGAATTTTACTATTTGGTTAAGTAGATTTCTTTTGAAGCATTTTAGAGGAAAATGGCCCACAAAAGCACAATATAACAAGGATATTACAGACACAGAGATGTTATACACAGCCACACTACATTATTTAATCCTGTCTGAAGCGGAGACCTGGTCTCAAAGTAAAGCTCTTGGTGTACAAAGTGGAAGACAGAATTGTGTTACCTACTGTCCTTGGGTCCCACAGCAGAGGGTGCTCAGATGATCAAAAATAAAGATGCACTGAAGGGGGGGGGAGAGAAGCTTTGATCATGTCAGTTGCATGGCAAGGTGCCTGTGACCGCCCCTACCTGTTGTGCTGTGCCGCTGGAGTAAGTCTCTGGGTGGCCTGGAGAGCCGCTGCTGCCCCTGGAGGAGGTATCAAAGTTCCCGGGATAGTCGTGGTACATGATCCGAGGTAGAAGCCGGAGAGGAACACAATGTATTTTCCTTCACACACACACACGCTCTATTTCTCCGCCTCTCTCGCCTGATTTTTATTTTCAGCCTTCCAACTGCACTCCGTAAAGATCTGGGGGTTGTTTGTTTGTTTAAATAAAGAGTTAAAAATAAAGCCCTTTCCTCAACTTTTTCCGCCACTCAAGACTGGGGGAAAATAATATTTCCCACCTCACAAAATAGAGCCACTCTCTCTAATCCCAGAGGTCTTTGGTGCACTCAGGAAAAAAAAATGTGGATTTAAAATGTGCCGCAAAAAAAGTGTAAATGAGACGTCTCTCTTTGTTTTAAAGTCTCTTGCTGTCTTAAAATCTGTTACATTTGCTCTGAAGAAGAGAAAGGGGAGGGAAAAAAGACCTAACCACACACACTCAAAACGCGTGTGTCTATTGCCCTTCTTCAGACTTCCTGTGAATATTTGTTCTGGTTTCAACGCTCCTCTGGCTCTGTAGTTTTCAGTCAAGAGGCTCTTTGCCTCCTATTTAATTAAGTCCTTTATAAAAGTGCCAGTTCCCTGCTCTAACTGAACTGGGTGACTCAGTCCAGGATTTTAGCCTCTTGATTTTTTTTAAACTCCCTTAATTATCGATCTGTACACTTGCTGCCTGCCAGCCTCTGCCCGCGTGAGTCTCTCTCTTCTCCCCCCGGGTCGCCTGCCCCCCTTTCTGTCTGTCTGTCTGAGAGTCTCTCTGGTATCTCGTTCTCTGAGCTCCTTTGCTCTCCCTGGATGAGTCAGTGCAATGGCATTAGTTCAACTCCACACTCTTATTATCCATCCCCTCCTCTGAGAGCTGTACCATGTGGAGTCACACACGTCAAACTCCCAGCTCGCCAAACCCCACTTTGCAAGGGGGAGCCTCCCACCTGGCAGGGGGAGGGGGAAATTCACCCCGCCCACTTAATCCGATTTGGCCAAACCCAGCCCGCCGCCTGCAAACCAATCTCAGAGCCCCGCAGGGCGGGACGGCACAATCCCCCGTGCGGCGGGGGAGCAGCCCGGGGCCCCGCGCGCCCGATTTGTTACTGGCAGAGCCCGCCCCTTCCCCCCACTCACTGGCGGCCTTTAGTCTGTTCCATTGGCGCACGTTGCCAAAGATGGTCATTTGCGTTATCCGACGCCAGCCCGGGTTTCCTTGGTTAGGATGACGCGGCCCGAGAGGGATTCCCTACTCGCTCGCACCAGATCGGCTCCGCTTAAAGGGCAACCGGATCAGAAAAGTGGAGAGAGAGAAGCGGAGATTCGAGTTCCTCCTGAACGCGCACCTGGCTGTGTGATCCCGGGGAAGGCGGGGGCTGGATCCACAATTACCCCGGCGCTGGCTTTGCAGTGCGGGGAGGGGGGTGGGGGGAGTGTGCAATTGGATCCAGAGTTGTCCTTGCAACGGTGTGTGTGTGTGTGTGTGTGTGTGTGTGTGTGTATACAGCTGGAGCCAGAGTTATCCTTGCGGGGGGGGGGGGGGGAGCCTGTGAGTGTACAACTGGATCCAGAGTTGTCCTTGCAACGGGGGAATGGGGAGAGCTGGATCCAGATGCCGGCTTTGCACCGCAGGGGAAGCTGGATCCAGGGGCTGGCTTTGCAGCCCTGCCTGCAGTGCTCATTGGCACTGTTTCCCCTCGCTGCTGTACTCTGAGAGACTCTTCCTAGAGCAGGATCAGCGAGAAAAGTTCGTGTTTGTTGCCTTCATTCCCGTGCAAGGCTTTGATCTCGCTGATTTAACACCAACGTTCCCGCGAACATTGTTTTGTTGAGGGCTGGCTGCAAGAGGGGGCCACCCTACCAAAGGCGGATTTCCCCCCCCCCCCCTCCCGCCCTCTAACGGCTCAGATCCTGACACTGCTCTCCCCACGCCCCGGGGCTTCACCCCCAAAGGCAGAGGCTGGCCACGCGTAAAACTCCTCTGCACACTCCGGAGAGGCGCTGCCCTTTCCGCTGGAAACAGGCGCGCTCCGTGCTTTGTTTACACAAGCCCTTCCCAGCAGGACGAGTCGACGCAGCTGCCTGGTGGGAGGCAGGAGGGCCGCAGCAATCGTGCGGCGGGGGCGAGGGCGACGAGAACTCAGAACAGGGGTCACCCTTGCCAGCTGCCAGCTCCGCCCTCATCACCGCGGGCTCCCGTGCCCTGAGCAGCGAGCCGGACGGCCGGGCCCCCAGAGCTGCAGCAAAGCCGCCCCCCTCCGCAGGAGCGACCCGACCCCAGGAGGAGGGATCCCAGCAGAACAGGCTGCGCCGCTCCCCGCCTCGTCTGCCCGTCGCACCTGGGCATCAAAGGGTGTTTCTCTCTTTGTTCCCCGCCAAGTGGCAGCTCTGCCAAAAACGCTAGCCCCCTTCCCCCCAAGAGCCTGCTGCCGAGTGGGCCCACCCCTTCCAGTAATGCCTGGGAGGGGCCCAGGCAGGGGAGGCTGGCGCCTGCTCCGGGCTGCGCACCGCACGCAGCGATCACTCCCTCTGTTCCCGCGGCTTCCAGTAAAGCGGCTGCTGGATAACCCCAGCCTCTGTCTAGAGCATCATGGAATCTGTGCTCTTTGCTGATGCAACATACAAGCCTCTGCGTTAGCAGCTGCAGCCCGGCACGGAGCGTAGCTGTGGTGATGACAGCTCCCCGGGAGGGAGCTGCAGGCAAGAGAGACGTGAACAAAGATCAACTCCAGTGTTCCAGCTGAGTAATTACAGGGTGGGGGGATGAAGTCCTTGTAGGGGGTCCGTGCGCAGGGGGGCAGTTTTCCCCTAGGAAGTGTCTTTGAACCGACAGATCATCTGGAGAATTCCAAAGGCAAAATGTTTGGTCTTCGGGAGGCACTTGATGAACCAGGGTGAAAAAAAGATCTCCAGTGGGAGATATTATTGAGGAGTATCCAGAAAAGGGGGATCCATTTGGCATTTTGTGGGCCTCCTTCCTGCATAAACTGAGCCCCAAGGAAATATCTCCCTTCAGTTCAGACATTGATCATAGGCTCCTTAAACGTGCAAGCCAACGCACACACCCAGTGAGGTTGAGCACATCAAGGAAATAAACCACAAGTGTATGAACAACTCAGGACAAAGGTTACATTTAAGGGACACCACCCAGCAACATTGTACTGCTGGTAGAAAAATCAGACATTTATTATATCCTCTTCTGCATGATTTCCTTGTAACTCTGTTTTTTCTCTGATCAAATGTTTTTAGTATCTCTATCAAAACAAAGGATGTGGAACACTAACAGGAAATGATAGATGTCCCTTCAAATGTAAGAAAGATGGTCAACATAACCCCAAGTCATAGTAAAATATGTAGATACATAATCAGTATTCCTTGTCCTTTAAATTGAGAAGAGAGAGAGCACATCTAAGAAGTCTAATAATGAGCACACAATGAGTTTCAGCCACTTGTTTTTCAGCCGCTGATGATGAAACAAATGCATGGAATCCCAGTGGTCTTCACTGTGTATCAGAGATGAGGCAAGGAAGTGGAGGGCAGACCAGGGTCAAGCCCTACTATGCAACATCCCATAAGTACATACCACAATAGGACAGAACTCCTCCAGCCCTTGCAATGCCTTTTGAGAGCTCTTTAGTTTAATGGAGATTCTGTGACTTTGTGCTCTGATGGATGAGAACAGAGTGTTGTCTAGGGCGGGGTGGGCAAACCTTTTGGGTCACATCTGGGTATAGAAATTGTATGGCAGGTCATGAATGCTTATGAAGTTGGGGTTAGGGTACAGAACGGGGTGAGGGCTCTGGCTGGAGGTGCGGGCTCTGGGGTGGGGCCAGAAATGAGGAGTCCAGGGTGTGGGAGGGGGCTGGGGCAGAAGGGCTGCGGTGCGGGAAGGGGGGAGTGAGGGCTCCAGCTGGGGGTGTAGGCTCTGGGGTGGGGCTGGGAATGAGGGGTTTGTGGTGTAGGAGGGTGCTCCAAGCTGGGATCGAGGGGTTCGGAGGGCAGGAGGTGGATCAGGGCTGGGGCAGGGTGGGAGGTGACGGCTCTGGCTGGGGTGCAGGCTCTGGGCTGGGGCTGGGGCTGAGGGTTTTGGGGTGTAGGAGGGTGCTCCGGGCTGGGACCGAGGGGTTCAGAGGGCGGGAGGGGGATTAGGGCTGGGGCAGAGGATTGGGGTATTGGCAGGGGGGATCAGGGGTGCAGGCTCTGGGTGGCGCTTACCTCAAGGAACTCCTGGACGCAGCAGTATGTCCCCCTTCTGGCTCCTATGTGGAGGCATGGCCAGGTAGCTCTGCATGTTGCCCCATCCTCAGGCACCACCCCTGCAGCCCTCATTAGCCGCAGTTCCAAGCCAATGGAAGGTGTGGGGGCAATGCTTGGGGTGGGGGCAGCGTGTGGAGTGGAGCCCCCTGGCTGCCTCTATGCGTAGGAGCTGGAGAGGGCACATGCCGCTGCTTATGGGAGCCACACGGAGTGGCCCACAACCCTGCTTCCTGGCTGAAGCAGGGCAAGCTCCCGACGCCACTCCCCAGCCGGAGCTCAAGGGCCGGATTATAATGGCACGCGGGCCGTAGTTTGCCCACCCCGGTCTAGTGGTTTGAGCAGATGACTAGGATTCTGGCACTTACTTGGTGTATGACTTTGGGCAAGTCACTTAACTTACTTTATGCTTTGGGTTGCCCATCTGTGAAATGGATGTTCCAATGCCATTGCACAGAGGTGGAGTGTAGTTTAATTAATTTCTGTAACGTGCTTTGAGCTAAAAGGAGCTGTATCACACATCTCTGTTTCTAAATATGTTAATATCACTGTTTGTTTGAATAAACTACATTGCACACCAGCAATTACAGTGTTTCCCCAGGTAGAACAACAGCCATTGGTTGTGTGCCAGACTCTGCAAGTACAGGTCATCACAGAAAAATGGTGTGTCTAAATAGGAACCTGCAAATCAGCATTTCCCTTCATAGCTTTGATAGTAAATATAGAAACACTTGTGACCCTATTATCTTCAGATATGACTAAATCCCACAGTTTCCTGCATGTGACATATTGTATCAAGTACTTTGGTTTCTGCAATGGAAGGACTTTTTCCTAAAGCTTTCTAAACAAATAGCCACTAAAGCCTTGAAGTGGTAATGGGTGGAAAATGGAAAAAAATAAAATTTCAAGTGACTAGGACTGTGAAAGGTGTCAGGACTGACAGTCTAAGGAGCTTTTCCTCCCCTCACTCCATTCTGTCCAAATTGCTGCAGCTAAAGTGGTCATCTCCTGCTGCACCAACCTTGTCACCCTCAATTTCTTTTCCAAGCTCTGCACAGCTTTGCTCATCCTGCTTTCCTCACACAGCCCTCCCAAGCTGTATGCTCTGCCCAAACCTCTCTCCTTAATGCTCCCTTTATTTCCTTCTCCTGCTCTCAGTTTTGTGTCTTTTTTCTCCCTGCTCTTGAAATAGTCTCTTCCTTCTTTGTGCCAAGAGCTTTCTGTCTCCTTCTTCAAATCTCTCTCTTTAAAACATACTTTCCCCCTTCCTCTCACTAATCCTGTGATACTGTGATGATGTATGGTATGAAAACTTAGATAGAGCTACGTCTGTCTCCTTTAACCTTTCTGCCTCACCCTTTAAATCTGCTTGTCTGCCTGTGCACTTTTGGCACCATCGTCTGTATTCTATTTGCCTGAACCAGACTGTAAGATTCTTTAGGGACCCATACACGCTATGGAGCTATATACGTGATTTGTAATAATAATAAGGTTCTGTATGTAGCCACAGGACAAGTACACAAGAGCACACTCCTTCAAAGATACTCCTTCCCCCTCCCCCAGGAGTGGGTGGGATGGCCTCTAATGGAGAGAGAGGTTTGGTCTGCATGGCCCATTCAGTGTTTGACTGAAAGAAATTGGTGTGGT